AACTAGAGGAAAATTCCAACTGAAAATTTCTGGGTTCTCGAATATGTAAAGGGGTTAGATAGTGGAGTTGTTGATAGAGCTACTAGGAAGCTTGACAATTAAGTGAATATGTAAATTACAATAATTCTTAGTTCAAAAAAGGCACTATACATGCGGAGACCACAAGGATCTATTGTACGCAACAGCCCTGATCACATGGTGGCAAGAAAAAAAATTAAAATTTAATACTCCCTCCGTTTCAATTTAGATGAGTTAGTTTGACTCGGACGAAATTTAAGAAAAAAAGAAGAAGACTTTTGAAACTTATGGTCTTAAAAGCCTAAAGGGTAAAAACTTTGTGGGGTCGTGATATTTGTGTGATTATAAAAGCTTCTCTTAAGGATAAAATGAAGATCTTAAAGTTGAGTTATTTTCAAATTTAGAAATGTGTCATTTATTTGAAACATATTAAAAAGTAAAGTATCTCCTCTAATAACAGGGAGTAATTATCTCAATAAAGAAAAAAATGAAATTAACAGAACCAATTTTATACAATTTAAAAGGGACGGAATCTTTTTTTTAATTATATTCCCTTAATTCCTTTTCGAGCCAGATAAGTTCAAAATTGCAAGTTTGCTACACTTTCTGCAAAGAATCTATTCAAATCTTCATCAAACCTTTCCCCTTCATTTGAGTCATTTCCTTATTCTTTATTCTCTCAACTTCAGCTTTCCAAGTACTCTCCATTTTTACGGCTTTTGCCCAAACAATAGCTGGAACTTGAAATCCTAAGCTTCAAAAAAGCTTTTAGCTATGAGTTCTTTACTTCCTTTTCCCTTTTACTATCACAAATTATAACAAAATCAAAGAACAGTCTGTATCAAACTGTACCTCCAATTATTGAAGACAAAGACAAATTCAAATCCAGATCTTGAAACATGACAAATCTAAAAACTCAAATCACGAAAAGTACCATACCTGTCCAAACAAACCTCACAAATTTCCAATAATCATCATTCAATATCAACAGCTAGAAGTTAACACCCTTTTGGGTGGGGGTGGGTTTGGGGGTAGAGGTGGTTGAATTTGCAAATAGAGACTACAGGCAGAAATTTGAAATAAAAGGCACATAAACTTGTAATACTAGCAGTATGTTTAATTGAATTATTGACAGACAAATTCAGTTACTATAAGTTGTATATAAAAACATCATCCAAAAAAAAATGAAAAATAAAACGTTTATGACAACAATCAATTCCCATCAACATCTTCTCTCCTCATTCGTATACCAAACAACCCCATCTCAAAAAAAAGAAAAAAGAAAAAGAAAAATTCAATTTACCATGAAAAATACAATATTTTTGGATTCTGTGGAAGAAGAAGAGAAATACAGAACTTAACTCCTGCAACGAGTGATAGCACTGCATCCACGAGAGTAAGGATTAGCCTGAGCACCAGGTTTGCAGTTGTAATACGAAGCTCCACGGCGAGAACAAGGTACACTGTTCTTCTGCAGTGCACCATAGCTGATGTACTTTTTGGTGGCTAAAATGCGCCTGTTTGACTCACTGTCCAGCTCAAACTCCTCTTCTTCAGCAATGCACTCTCCGATACTCCCTTTGCATCCCCCACCAGATCTCGCCGGCATCACCCAATCGTAGGCCCCACTATCTCCGGCCGCCGCCATTGAAATGAAAAAAGCTCCGATCAGAACACAAAGAATCAAACCTGAAGGAACTCCCATTTTTACCTTGTACTGAAAAAATGATGAGAAATTAAAACACCCTTTTGCTATTTCTGCCTGTTTATGCTTTGGACCGCTGGTTTTTGGTATCTTTTTACTATGTTTTCGCTGTTGAAACTTCCGCAAAACAAAATCTTGAACTAAGACAACAGCTAATGGGCAAGGACAGTTGTATTATAAGTAGAGGTGGCTTTCTATTTAGCCTTGATACTGGACTTTATTACCAAATTGCCCGGAAAGATTAGGAGAGTTTGATTTATTGGGTGTCCACTAACTTTTTATTTCAACGCGGAAAATTTAAAGGGAGATTTAATTTAATGTTTTAAAAGCCGGCATTGTACATACTGGACATAATTAAATGGTGAGGTAGCTATCAAATGTTAGAGAAAATTCCAATCACAGATTGAGTTTGACAATTGTCAATAAATTACTACTACAAGTTAGCATAAAATAGTTGAAACAATATGAGGTTTATCCTAAGGACCAAAAGGATTAGAATGCAATATGGTCTTTTGTTTATGTGCATACCACTCCTTAGTCTTAATAATGGTGTAATTTAATTTAATTTAGTTGTAGACGCTCAATGTGTAAACACTTATTTATTAGAATTTGCTAGTAATTCTGAAATTGTCTTAGTCAACCATTTCAAATCATGTTGAAAAATTTTAATGGAAGAATTTTTTTTTTTTTTCCTCTTCAAAAATTAGAAGAAGTTTTTTCTTATTATCTTGGATTATACATGATGGTGGAATGTTAGACCTGATAGAATAACATTAGAATAGGTTAAAAGACAATGTAAATAGTCAAACTTATTAGTATAAGTTTTTGAATATCATTTTAGATTAAAGTATAATTATTTAATCGATTTAAAGTTAGGAAAAATAACCATTTTCTTAAAAGCAAGGTATCTGATCATTCCTTAACTAGAACATAAAATTGATTGGAAGCAATAGAAGTTAACCGAAATAAATTTATCCCAAGGAAAAAGAAAGGAAAAGAATAGATTAAAGGGCAGTGTGAACTTTGATAAGGTTGGGTAGGGGCAAGAATCGTAATAAGTAGGAAATAGGATGTCCAAATTAGAGATAAAAGAGATATTTGGTTGACTGAGTTGTCCCGTTGGTCACGTAGTAGGAAGAAAAAAAGAATAGTGGGGGAGCTGTAGTATTTATTGGAGTATTAAAAATAGGATATAGAGAAAAGAAAAAGACGGCAGAGATAATTAGGGCTTTCGTCCGTCCAATAATCTTGTCAACCGAAACACGTTTTCACTCTACCTGCCTTTTTTCTGTCACCGTTACAGATTCGCCGTTATCAATAATTGTGTGCTCTGCTTTTCGTTAAATATTACTACTATAAACAATAGAGAAATAAAAGGGATGAAAGTAGTTACCCGTTCACTAATTTGGTTAACTACAACAACTACATATCCTTTCTAACGTGATTTTATTGTCCATGCTTGTTTAGATAAAGGTTCAAACGTATAGTATTTTCTTCTGAAAAAAATCATTCCTAAATTTGATTTTGTTCAAAATAAAACTTTGCTGCAACGCTACTTCGTTTTATAACATAAAATTGCATGGAGAAAATGTTAAAAGTTGCCTTACCTTTTCCCTCCGGTAAAATTTGGCAACAAAATACATTTGTTGTTATTCTTTCGTATCGTATTTATCCTTACCTTATAAAATGAAATTCTCGTTGATTATTATATAATTACCTATGTAAGATAACACGTAATACTCGTTATATAGTTTTAGAAATGAAAGTTTTAGACAAACAATTAAACAAATTATACTCAAGGAGATTAAATGAGGGTAAAAAACGGTTGAAAGCTTCGCCCAAGGAAAAAAAAATTAACGATGCATTAAAACTCCACCCAACCAAAATCAACTCTAAGGATGTAATTTTATTTTTAGGTACTTTTCTTTTTAACTATATGTCACATGCCGGACACGTGTCAAAATGCGTGTTACGCACAACCAATTTTAAGGTAGTCATAGTCATACATAGTGTTTAATAGGTTCATCTTTTAGTTGTAGTTTTAGTATGTATGGAGAAAATCTTACAAGTTAAAGGGGAAGTATATATCAAATCTGAAAAATACCATAACAACATTCATAACCGATAAGAGAGGAAAAACCAAAAATTAGTGTTAAATGTTTTAGACAAAAAGGAGGCAGAGGCTTTGGCACTGGCGCCAAGATAACAATTTTCAAATAAGGCAACGGTAAAGAAGTCTCAGTCTCGAAAAGACCACAAGAAAACTTTATTGAGTTAAACAAAAGAGCGTGTATTACGAAAAATGAAAATATTGAAAGGATTCGAGAAAATTAACGGCGTTAAATGGTAGAATGAGCTCGAACGTTATCTGAAGTATCCGTTCTGTAACCAAATACATATAATGGGTGTGGGGTCTCATTACAGATCACAGGATGGGTCGGTGTGTGCGCGTCCTAAACAAAGGCCAAAGCCAGCTGTATGTTCAATTAATTAATACTAAAAATTGCACCAACATAAGTATTTTAATCATAAAAGTAATTAACATCTGACTTTTATCAAAGGGAATACCCACCAGATTAAAAATAAACATAGAAATTTAATAAATCGTTTTGGTAACTTGATTCCTTCCTCCAACTTTGATAATGCTATGTTGGTTGAACTATTTTGTAGAACGAACTTAAAAAAAGAAAAGAAAATTGAATTGAGAACTTCTAACTAATAAAGGTTTAGACTTTAACGAATATATAGAACTTATTAGCTGTCTTCCAAAATAGGAGTTTTTCCTCATCCAATGAGTTATTAATATTGTATGTACTTCTACATTTCCAGTTTACCTCATTTCTAGATGCCTAGAGGATACCAAATTCCTTTTACCAAACCTATAAACACATTAAAATTAGAAGTTTATATAGACTAAGGTCTAAGAATGAATAGACCTTCGAGAAGTAATAATTTAATAAAGAGCTGAATGACATCCTGTCATGTAAGCATTGTTCTGGGATCATGCTAATTGCTACTGTTGAATTATATGACATAAAGTTTAGCTTAATTCATTGACAAACTAAACCATAGGTGGAACCACTCAACATACCACATTTTCAAGAAATATCTAAGACTCTTTTATCAACTGGAGCTATATAAGAGGAACCATTCTAAAACCTTCTCAGGAAAAAAACACAGGGGTTTAACCCAATCACAGAAAAATTTCTGTGGTATAACTGCAAACCCTCTCACTCAAGCATGCTCAATCGCATTGGCAATTTACTGCAACAGAAATGAAAAAGAAAAGGAAAACATCCGTCCATTTACAAATTTAAGAAACAAAACAATCTCTGAGATAGAAAAACAAGGTATCTATCACAAGGCTGGATATTGATGCTAGATATTTTTCTTACAGCATTAGCCGATGTAAATTCTGAGCTAGGTAGCATCCAATGTGGAACATAAACTCACCATTCAGTTTTGCCGAAAAAACAAAAGATACAAAAATGAGTGTCACATATTGCAACTTTCTTAGGAATAAAATGCACCTTTTAAGGTAATTAGCGCATACCATACTTCAATTTCTTTCATCAGCTGTTATGGGCAAAAGACAAACTACTGTTGCTTGCACCTCTATAGGACGTTCTCCATGCTGACCTTCTCTAACTCTGCTATGACACTCTTCTACAATTTTGTTGAATAAATATGTCACATACTAAAGAAAATGAAAGGCAATTTATGGCATCAACTAAGAAAAATGCCACCAAAGCCATTCATCTCACCTTTGGTGCTGATGACTAAAAGGACAACTGAAGAACATCATATGGACAGACCCAAAAAACTATCAGCATCTCCAGAAAAAGAAAAGTAACAGGCAAATTCGAATCATTTGTTGAAACATGCTGAACTAATAGTACATATCTTTTGCGCTTCTCCCCTTCTTTATTCTCATAACCATCACCATCTTCTTCAATATCTTCAAATTCATCCCCTGCAAGAGCCTCACCATAAACCATGACACAACACGGGGGATGATTTTGGCCACAATTGTTGAGTTGCAAAATTGGAGGGCCAAATGGAAATATCAAATTCACTCCAATCCAACTCTACTTCCTAACGATGGCACCATATAACTCATCGAACACGTAGAAGTTGTTAACCAGTTTGAATGACATGTGGACTGAAACGGAAATCGAAAGCTAATAAGAAACCAGCAATTTCTCCAACGCCGTCATCTTCTCCCATTAGATTCCGGAGATCTTCAGCCTGTCAAGACATATTTGACACTAATGAAATCAGGTCAAGAACATTCTGCATCACAGAGTAAATGAACAAAATCAAACTTGTTGAACCTACAACATTTTTCATCGTTGTCATCCTCATCTTCGGCTACTTGTGGTGGATTAAAGATCAGTCCTGATTATGGGTTTATCACTTTTTGACCCACTTGGCTTCCTTTTTAGGATCTCGTGTCAAGCCTTTACGTGAATGCCATTCAAATGGCGGTCCTACAAGATTCCCACATCCAATGAACAAACATGAATCACATGATGATATAAATTAAAACATCGAGAAGTTAAAACCTACCCTATGGCCTTCTTCAATATATACTCATCATCATCATCAATCATGTGATAGGTTTTAGTCAAGACAGAATTCTCGAGAAAAGGTTTTGTATCAAGAGGATGTGAAGCATAAAACCCTTTCGATCATCAATACTGCACCACTTGATAACTTGAGGCAATTCAAAGCTTCTTGGTCACACTGTAAGATCTAAAGCAGAGTCATTTGGACTCAGTTAAATGATTGGTACTTTGAACCACAAAATATTTACATGAATTGTTATTTACCTCTGCTAATATCTCATTATTCTTTATTGCAGTCAGCCAGAAGTTGAGAACAACTTTCTCTACACCAAATTTTCGCACTAATAACAAATCAAAGCCTATCAATCAATCTGCACGGGTGACAAGAAAATATCCAATAAATAAATTTAATCATTTTCAGTCTTTCTATTCCCACCTGGTTGTTCATGGGAGCTTCATTAAGACCCTACACTTCGACAACTCAATTTACTATTTCATATCTGTGCAACACATCCATAAAATCATAAACATGGAAGGACAGCCAAACCGTATATCTTCTTTCTTTTTGGAAGGAAAAGAGCTAGTTTCAACTCCAACAAGCAGACATGGAGCAAACAACTAAAAAATTATTCTTCTCACCTCTGTATTCAGTGGTTCATACAGCTTCTGGTATTTAGCTTCAATGTGCAGCCTTCTCGAGAAACTTTGCTTCAAGCTCATCATGTTGGCTCTATATTCAGAAAAACAATGTCAAGTTTTTTTCTTCCTTTTACAAGAGCAAATGGAATTTACACAAGCATATTGATATGCCAGCTAAAGTAAAAGGTTAATGCAAATAGTTGACCTGATTAGTTTGGTCCTTTGGGATTGAGGCATAATTGTTGTCATTGTTAGCACTATTTTTTTTTTTTTTT